TGAATGATGTAAAGTAAAGAGCTACTTAATAAAGTTTGCACTTACTATTCAATTTTGTATTACGAGGGGCATGCCGTCTGTACCTTTACAGTCGGCTACTCTCCATTGAGTTTTTCACTCTATCTTCAGAGGGGCATGCCGTCTGTACCTTTACAGTCGGCTACTCTCCATTGAGTATTTTACTCACAATACTTAGCTAAAAAGATTAGGGCCTGGCCGACCCTGTGTCTAACAGGCGGCTACCCTTCTTTTACTTAGCACCTACGTTCACCAAGAACTTACCAAGGTCACCGGCCGAATGATCAGACCAGGCGCCAAGCCACCTGATCAAATCTACAAAACTAATACGACCTGTCCCAACATCATAGCAGGCGTCCGACGGCATCCCTCCGGATGAAATTCGTCGCAGAGAGCAGCTCCCTTTTGGGTGGAACATTGTTCTATAAACTAATTACACGGCACCTATACGACTGTCCCCAAGGGCAACCACGTAGCCGTTTTTGAGACAAGGATAACTCTATCACTAACCAAACCAGTGGTAGCAGTTGACATCTGAGTCAGATGACCGCCTGTATTACTTGGGATAAATGCAGGGGGTACCTATTGAGTTAATAGCCAACAAACATTGGCGAATCAAGGGGTCTAGCCGGCCTACGCCGCCTGGTACCTCTACTACTCAATCTAGATTGTGACGATGACTAAGTAACTCCTATGTTAACTTAATAGTCACTCAAACTTAGTATGGAGCCTAAAAGGTATGAGTCGTCCGCCTGTTTTTAATAAACAGGGGCTCTCAACCACTACTCTTGCTAGGTTAACAAATTACGAGTTAAAAGCCAACATTGGCAATAAAGGGAAACAACCGGTACCCGCCGCTTGTCATCCTACTTAATTCCTTGGCGACTAGGTAATACTATTTACTTGGTCAGACCGATTGAATAAATAGTTCGAATACCGATTGAATAAATGGCCGACTGATCGTCTATCCTGGAAACAGACAACCAGTCGTCCAGGGGCATAGGCGGCGTACTTACTATTTGTACCTGTCTGCAACGTTCGGCCATGTACAACAGTCGGTCTAGTGAACAATGGGATATTAGATATGGAATACTTAGACAAATTTGAATCAAAACAAAAATTTGATTAAAAATAAGCCGGTCATTAAAGACCAGCAAAATATTCAAAACCCCGGCCCCCTGGCCGGGTAAATACAAAGCAAACGGCACGCAGGCCGTGGGAAAAAAAAAATATATACTTTAAGACTTAAGAAGGGGGCAGTTCAGTATTAGCAGCTGCCGCCTGGTCAGCACTCTTCTTGCTGGACTCGGCTTCAGCTGCACCCTCTTTTGATGCCTTACCCCCAAGTGGCACAAGCGCCACAACCGGCTCTTCCTCCTCCTCCAACGTATCTCCCAACGCCTCTTCTTCAGCAGCCGCCAGGATCTCTTGATTATATGTTTCCGAACACTGGCGGTACGTTCTTTCCAATGAGGCAAAGTCGGCATTGGGGAACAGGCGGCCCCAGGTCATGCGCTGGATTTGAGCGGAGTCTTCCACCATCTCCCGGACGAGCTCTTTCTTCTCTTGCTCGGCCTTTTCCGAGAGCTCTTGGGTAAGACTCTTCTCTTGGCTCACCAGGCGTTCTTTTACGTTGGCCAAAGATTTCTCCATGGCTTCGTAAGAGTGCATTTTTTGGCGAAGAGGTTTCAGCTCGGCCTTAAGATTTGTGACGGTCGCCTCCAGCTCGTCATTCTTCTTCTGGGCCGCCTCTAACTGAGCCCGAACAGCGGCGGTAGCCTGCGCCTGATAATAAAGAATATCAATGGTCAATACTTCATTTTGGGCAATTTGAAACATTGCCTTATCACAGTTGGAGGCGGCCATAGCTTTTGCGACCTTTACCTCTTTGTTTTTCCGATCAATCGGCTTGCGAAGGCTGTTAACTCGGAGCAGGGCCTAAGTAAAAAAAAAAAACAGGCGTCAGTTTCCAAACACAAAAAAGATAACAGGCGTCCTGGAACTCAAATACTCAAAAATATGCTAAGTATACCTCAGCAAGGACCCCTGCAATCCCATCAAGGTCAAGGGTGCCGGCACCCCTGACCGCCTCCCTTTCAGATGGAGGAACTACTTTGATCATGGACTTGGCTACCTCAACCAAGTCAAGCCCCTGAGGGCCGGCTGCATCAAGCGTAAAAAAAGCAAGTTAGACCTAGTCAAGAAGGAAGCAAGGGTGAAAGTTTTTACAAGTGATTGTCCATACTTCTAGGCGGCCCCGCCGGGGTTTTAGAAGAAGTGGCCGGCTGCTTCTCAGCCGCCACTGTTTTCCTGGAAGACCCAGGAGAGCTTGCAACAGTCGTCCTCCGGGCCTTGGGGTCCGGCTGTTGCGAGGAAGAAGCTCTTGGAGTGCCAGACTGAAAACAAAAAGAGTTAGTATATGCATAAGACAACTCCTAAAAGAGGAAGAGTTTTCGAAGCCTACCAAGGGTGCCCCCTTGTTGGGGGAGTCGGCACAAGACTGTTGCATGAGAGAGGCCCGCAACATGGCCGCCACAGTCTTGGATGCTGTTATTTTACTCATGGCGTCAGCTGCAAAAAATAAACAGCAAAGTTAGTAAAGATCCCAAGTAAACAAGGCGTGAAAAAAACAGAGTGTTTGTCAGGCCGGCTACCTCTAGAGCACCGACTGCTGAGGCCACAGGCGGCCAAAAAGTACTCGTCATAGAGCCACTTGAAGCTCGGGACGCAGTTTAGGGGTACTTGCTCTCGTACCCCTGAAGTAGAGTTCACCCTAGTCTCTACTTTGAAGAGTCCTTTGTCTAGGATCTCTCTTTTAGCCTTTGGGGGAACAGGCGGCATGCTGCGGCCGCCTGCGAGAAGAGGCGGATCCCTATTCCACTTGTTAAAACGTTGGTTCAGCTCCGTGTCTGAACCCTCAATGATAAGGAAGGTGTTCCGCCAATCCTTCCATTTGTTCGCCTTACCTCTCGTCATGAGGTAACCCCTATGGCTTGTTAATTGATACCAGCCGGTACCTCCCGACTTAGGGGTCCGGCTGAGATAGTTCATGTGGGCGAAAGCCTCAAAGCTTGGCTCCACCCCGTACATTTCGCACCCGGCCACATAGCCGAGTACGTTTACCCAAGAGTTGGGGGCTAACTGCCATAACCCCAAATCATACCCATCTAAAATCCGCTGAACAGCCGGATGTAATGGGAAGCGCAGTCCAGCTTTGATGGCCGCCACATAGCAGCCAAAGCAGCAGTCATCATAGCTGGTACCAGCCGGCCAGACGACAGTGTCTTCTGGATCCGGCACGAACAGTAAAAATTCCGGGCCCATTCTGTGGTTAGCAATAAAGCTCTCCACTTTGTCTTGCATGGTTGCGATCCGGCCCCGGGGTACCATGCAGTAGTAGGGGGCGTTTTCCTCTCTGTAAGAGGCGGACGGCTCCGCCCAATTGTCCCCCTTCTCAACTGCATGAGAAAGTCTCGCCTCTTGTAGGCGGCTATGTCTTTCTTCTAAGCCTGGAGAACTGTGGCCAGAAGAGCTGGACTCGGACTCGTCCTCTGACGAGTCCGAAGAGGACGACTCCTCCCCTCTCCCAGAGGGGCCCGCCTCCTCTCCCTTAGAAGGAGCAGGAGGAAAATTAGACATATCAACGGTAAGATGGGAAGGGACCACCTTGGCCCCTCTCTCAGAACTGTCGGCTTGGCAGCCGCCTCGTTTCAATTCTACATCTGGCGCCTGGTCAGATGTTTCACTAATGAGCACCCTTTGGGAGGAGCCGTCTGAGTTTGATATCATAGCAGTCTTTTTTGTTCTGGCCATCACGTTCTGCATAGACACAGATACAGTCGGACTTTGTATAAAGGGCAAAGATGGGTCCAGAAAAGGGCAGGCGGCACTCCTAGTCCTAGATTCAGCCGTCCCCGGTGAACGGCTGATCACTAACTTAGGTCGTGTCGTGTGCTTCCGTGGTGCCATTTCAAAAAATAAAAAGAAAATTAAGAGTAAGAGAACTGAGTTACCTGAACTAGTGACGGTTGATGAAGTTCTGGAAATCCGGTGCAGTCGGCTTGTCAGAACAGGCGGTAGGCAGAAAAAGTCCGAAATGTCAGAGCAAGTTCAGGGGTCCGAATGTTCTCGCAAAGTTCTCAAATGTGAAAATGACCGAAGTCAGCACTTCCTTATATAGGCAAAGTGAGAAGGCGAAGGGTCGCTTCCAAATTCAAAATTTGGGCGGGAAAATCTCTCGGCCGTTTGCAAGGTGACACCTGTAGCAGGCCGTCGCCTGTCACCGTGCGACACCTGTCACAGGCGACACGTGACCAGTCACGTGCCACCTGTGAGGGGCAAATGATTAGGGGATTTTTATCCACCAATCACCGTCTGACAAGTGGACCAACCAGGTTCCGCCACGTGTCCTTCACGAAGGCCAATAGGAGCCTGCCACGTGTTAATCACAGATACATCCTCTACGGACCAATCGAGGCACGCCACGTGTCCACCCATGCCAAATGGGAAAACCGGCCAACAAGGCCCAATCCTGTCTAGAGGCCCGGTCAGCCCTAGGTTTACCCTAAACCTAGAGAGTGGCACGCTTCTCAAGACTATAAATACTTAATTAATCCTCATTAAAAGGGATGAAGCAATTGAGAGGCAATTGATCAAGCAATTAATCTCACCTGAAGAACAGAGAAGAACAGAAACATTACGGAACACTAATAACCGGCTAATCTCGCTAGCAAAGCAGATTACCAACATTAAACACTCTCACCTAGAGAGGTCTTATTACTTTAATTTCCGTATTAATTACTCCTTAATCAGGTACTAACTTGACCGTTGGAGGCGGAACTCTCAGGAGTCTCCGTTATTTTGCAGGTACAGGCGTCCGGTTCCAGTCTCGGAATTGTAACTCTCCCGCAGGACATCAGAAAACCCCGAAACAAGTCCCACTGTTTTAGATCAACTCTGTATTTTAGTGACAAAACCATCATTAACAGGAGCTTTTTTGTCTTTCTCGACCCACCGCAACATCCAGAGTTTACCATCATCCATTTTCTCTCTCTCTCTTCTCAAACCTTACTTCCTCTCTAATGGCGTCTCTTCACTCCATGGTCGTCGCTCCTCCAATCGAACCTTTCACCATTCCCAGGACTCCATTCAAAACTTCCCTTTCTTCTCCTTCTCTTTTACTTTCTTCAACTTCCAATTTCAAAAACCCCAATCTCTGTTGCCTCTCTTCTCCAACTAGACTCGCTCATTCCGGTAATTTTTCAATTTATTCATCTTAATTTTTTTCTCATTTCGTAATTTGGGCGCAATTAGGATTTCTCTTGATGAATGTAGGTTTCAATTGCAAGATATTCGATGATTTTATAAAAGTCTTAATGTTTATGAAATTTGAATTTGTTAAATTTCGCCATTTGATTGATTAATTACTAGGAAGTTCTAGTTAGGTTATGATGATACTCAACTAACTCAAGTGACTTGATTTGTAATCAAACTAGTAATATACAAGTAAATTATTATTATATAGTTATGTACAAGTAATCTGCATGATTTTTTAGGGTTCTGCCAAGAAATGTGAGTTTTCTAAATTCCACGTCACTGGTAGCTTCAATATCAATAGCTTGGTATATAGGGCTGCAATTACCTAGGTATATAGAGCTGGTGTTATGGGAGTATGATTAGTGTGGATTGTATTAGTATTTCTATTTCAATTTGGTAGATTGAGAAATATAATCTCCATGTGATTAGCTTTTGAACCGAAGTTATAATGGCTGTGAGTTTTAAACTAGGAAAGGAAACCGGGTGGATTACCAAAATCATCCTCTCGGGCGAAAGATTATGACTTTGAGGCAGCAATAATATGATCAAAGCTTAAGATATAATTACTCTCTAGTCTCTGCCATACCCGAATTCCAAGAAAACTTGGTGACTAGCATACACTGACTCTGAGTTTGATATTGATCGCTTGTGCTTTAATATTGCTTAGAAGCATATTGTCTTTGAAGATTGAAAGTGTAGAGAGTGTTTGACAGTGCTTGTTTGATGAAGCTATCCTCCTTACTTCGCTGGTAGCTATAGTACCTTTCTTTTAATAAAATTATGTGTGTGATATTGTTGTTGGTTGCTTAGTAGTTGATGTTTTTAGCCCCTTCAATTACTCTGGAATTAGTGATGGCATACGATCACTTTCTGTGTAGATTTACTTGTGAGGATTGTATTCGCAAGTTTTTTTTTTTTTATCACATGATAAGAACATATTGAAATTTTGAGGAATGTAACCTCCTTGTGATGAGGATTTGGAAATTGGATCTGAAGTAATTCTAGGTTCACAGCTGTGAGTTTGATATTAAATCTGGCGATACAGTTTTTGTAAAAGACTTTTACTTGCTGTGTGCTGAAAGATTGCTCAGAAGTCTGTGGACATTGAAGACCAAGTGTAGATACTGTTTTTCTGTGCCTATTCTAGCCTTTTAAGATATTAACATATTATAAGTAGCTTCCATAGAGAATGTATGCTTCAAGTTTCTAGAAGGTGCCCTTGAAGAGAAAATTCTGCAGATGTTTTAGAAAGGTTGTGCGTTTATACAGATTCACAGAAATATATTCAATTTGGCAGCAAAAGAGTAGGAATCTTGAAAGAGAAGTATCTGATTTAAGAGTGAAGCATCTTTTAGGAGATCCTGATTTTTTTTTCCTTTTTTTTTTTAATATATATTAAAAGGTAAAATCTATAGTTTGGTGATGGGGACTATGATATAAATAGATATAGAAGGAACGAATTAATGTGTTTTTATTGTCTCCCCATGATTGAGTCGCTAGTTAGAAGAGTCATTAGTTAAAAGCCATCTGTGATTTATTTATGAAACATGCTACAGTAGATCATTTTTTATTTGTATATATCATATTATTACATGTAGGCTGTTGTTGTTTATAACTAATATGTTTACTTTCTACAACTGTGCAACCTACATTATAATATCTGTATGCAAAGTAACTTGCACAGAGAAAAAATCATAATAAATGAGCAGCATATAAACCATGCATAGCACTAAAAGGGGAGCTGCCGATATAATTAAAGACAAAAGGGAAATTATCATAAATGGCTTCTAACTTTGCTGATAACTATACAGTCAAATTTTTGTAGACGACTAATAATAATGTGCAGGGATTTTGAATTAATACCACTGTGATGGGTGTTCTCAGTTAAGGTTAAGGCTCAAGAATCTGAAGTCAGTGTTGCTGTGGACGCCTTTACTCAATTCAAACATTTGCTTCTGCCTATCACTGATAGAAATCCATATCTCTCAGAGGGAACAAGACAGGTATCATAATAAGCCAGTGACTGTGGTCTGTAGAGATATAGGTCATGTTATATTTTATCCACTTATGGCATTCTTCTAACCTTTTAGTGCAATATTATTGAATGAATTTTTTATGACAAATGTTTTGATGGCATCATTTCATATGTTTCGTAATATAGAGCAATTACATTCATGATAAATGTTTTGATGGCATCATATTATATATTTCATGATCCATGATTTGAGAAATTCCTCATGAATTATCTCTCCCTATTACTGCGCAACATGTCTCTCACGTAAATTACACTCATTTTTATTACATTGATGCATCATGCATGATCTATATCCTTATACAATTTATGCCATTAGACTGTTTTTTTACCTACAGCTTGATTACACTCAAAGTAATACTTATTCTGTTCATAATTTGGAAATTTTGACTTGTGTTATTTTCCTACATCCGTAAATCAATTTCTTGCCAGGCTGCTGCAACTACTGCTGCTTTGGCAAAAAAGTATGGAGCAGACATAACAGTTGTAGGTATGTTTTCTGACCATACCTTTGCTCAATATATATATATACAAAGTATTATGGATCAAAACTTGGGACTCAGATACTTTAAAAATATGGTAAGGCAGTAAAGTTGCATATTTACAACTCCACTTAAATGAACTTGATGCGAAGTAATCACTTATGAATTGTGGTGGTGGTGGTGTTGTATGCAATTGTTATATTATAATGTAATACTAAGCAGTAGTAACAATTTTCTCTATCAAAGGCTTTTTCTAGTGCTAGATTACTGGCTACCAGAATTTCATCCTCATTGCAGTTATTGATGACAAGTCGAAAGAGTCGCATCCTGAGCATGAAACACAGTTGGGCAGCATTCGCTGGCATTTATCTGAAGGTCTGCTGATCTATACTCCCTCCCTTTGCTCAATACCCAGTCCATACTTTGCTTGTCTTTTGTACAGTGCTTGCTCAAATTGAGGTTAGGTGGATGAAGTGAGGGGCTCTGTAAGATGCAAAAGTTATCATTTTCATATGTATTTTTGGCTTTTACTCACACAAGGGTGAAGGATGAAACCATTCATTCTGTGCATGCTTGATCTAAGTTAAACTTGGACTTAGGGATAAGGACAAGGGCCTGATTTGAATCTGGAGGGCTGAAATTTGCTTCTTCCCCCCCCCCTAGTGATTCCATCTTTTTGGGGTATTATTATTTGAAATGTCGATGTGTTGTTTCCTCTCTAGGTTCTAAATCTAATTGAAAAGTCTAAGCATTGTAGTTTGTTTCGACACTTGAGCACATGTGATTGCTAAGATATCATTATGTATTTGGTCCTGCAAGTCTCTTGCATGAGTTGCATCATGTCTATTATGTAGAGACGAGATATTTATACTTTGTTTATCTTTATCCAAACCAATCATTACTAGAGGCAGGGGGGTCATCAGTCTGCATGTTCTGCAAGTGTTAGCTGAATCAGACATCCATGTCATGTGTTCACCCTTCTTATTGTATTTATTTATCGTATTTATCGAACTTTTTCAATTCAATGACAGGTGGGTTTCAGGAATTTAAATTGCTAGAGAAACTCGGCGAAGGAAGTAAACCTACAGCCATAATTGGGGAAGTTGCTGATGATCTGAATTTAGATTTGGTTGTTTTAAGCATGGAAGCAATACATTCCAAGCATGTTGATGCAAATCTCCTGGCAGAGTTTATTCCCTGCCCTGTCTTACTATTGCCCTTGTAAGGTAGCTGAATTTGACGACCCTTCTCAAAGTGCCTCTGGTAATCTCGTTTTATCGATCTGATTTGTCTGTTGTTTCCTTCTTTTGGTTTGGGTTTTTCTTTTGGTATCACTTTGAATTAAGAATATTGAGTTGAAGTTTATTGTTGTACAGAAACCTGTGTTCTTCTCAGCAAGTTGATTATTCTATGGTACTTAACACATTATTCCATCCCAAATAATTTTTTTTTAAAAAAAAAAAATATTCCGTCTACATGTTATTTCGGCTCTAATTACATCGAGCAAAATGTGCTCCATGTTTGTGACAAAAATGTGCTCAGATCGGTCCCATAATGTAGGGAGAAACATCGCTATCCCAGGGACACGGGTTAATCAGATAATTTTGCTTGGTTAGAGTGACGACAATTTAGGCTCAATACTCATTAGCTCATGTTTCATGAAAGGTGATGGTAACACTAATTAATTAATAGGTTAGGTACATTAAATCCCCAAGGAAAAAGAAAGGAGAGGAAAAGGTTAATGGTAAGTTATTCACTGGGTACAGCTAATAATGACACGACTTTCTCGTGGAAACTCTTATTTTCTGCACATTTGGTGATGGATTTGCTGCTTCTTAATTTAGGTGAAACTTTCTAACGTTGCATCAATTTCAGTGAAAGGGTTTTACCATGCACTTAAATAGTCACATCCTTTTTCCTTCCTTAATTTCTCCGGTATAATACCCATTATATCCCTATATAGACTATTTTTCATTCCTTAATTTTTTTTCATGGTTAGAGGAGCATTTGAGACAAGTGTTGTCATGTTTGAAGGAGCACCGGTTGTATACAAAGCTGTCAAAGTGTGAGTTTTGGTTGGAAGAAACTAACCAGGCCAAAGCTCGATAATTTACAAGAAATCGACCCATATTTTTTTTTTTACTTTGTAGTACTTTCTACTAGTATTGATTGGTAATTTTGATTATTTTTACTCTGTAACACAATTTAAAATCAACCGCAAAAACGAAACTTAAACATTGACCGAATTGCCACCCCCCACATAAGGTATCATTCGGGGAAAAAAGTGTGAAATTCTGCCGCATAGAAATGTATACTTCTTAGATTTTGATACCCTCTTTTGTTGTTGGCTTTAATTTTGTACCTAAGCCACACAGGGGTCCTTCCTCGCCTTCTCAAAAAGGGAGAGAATTTCATCTTTATTCATCATTGAAAAGAATAATTTAGCTTCTTGTGTAAAGCATCCACATAAATAAATGATAAAAGAAAGGTTTATTGGATCCATCTCCATACCAAACATAGAATAGATTAAGGGGACAAAGAACCCATTTTATTACACGAAAAAGAAGAATCTCAATTGATTTTATCGCTTCACAAGTGGGAGGGAATTTAAGGGCACCATGAAATTGAAAAAGACCATCAAATATAACTCCTATCAATCATTCAAATATTTCTTACTCTTATTATGTTTATATTACATCATTAGATTCATCACACATTATATGCTTACAATTTAACTTTATTGATGATACATTAATATTAGTAACCTTCTTATCAAAAAAGAGGTTGAGAAAGAGAAAACAATGTGAATTGATTAAATTTTTATTTGTTTATTATTGATAATTGGTTGTATATATATAAAACTATACAACTATGTTGTTATAGAGACCATATAGGTTGTTTCAAGTTGCCTCATAAGAAGAAGAAAAAAAAAAATTGACCCATGATATAATTTTTTTTATCAAATACATACATTAGCTTAGTCAATGCGCCCAATATTACACTTTTCCATCTTATATGTTGACATATTGTTATAAAAGTGTGCACACATTTTTTGCTTCCAATAATTGATTAATGGAGTTAGGAAGTTAATACAAGTTGTCGGGGGAATACTTAGGCTTAGAGGGTCACAATAAGTCAATAACCAAAATCTCTCGATATGGATGCTAAATTAATCGCTTAAATTAAGGCTTTAATATGAGTTGGGTATGGGTTGAGTTGACATAAAGGAATTACATACAATGTAAAATATAAAATGTTTTGACTTGATATAAATTTATGATACGACACAACATATCGGCCCGTGAGGCATGTTGGTGGACCATGGACTATGCATGAACATCTTTTTAAATTTTGGTATGACCCGTACAACATGACCTCATATTGCCTGCTTATTTGACAAATTTACGAGAAAAGTATAAAATAATAAAGAGTTACTCGTGTTTATTAGCATGACATTACATAACATATACACCAGACCATAAGATCGGGACAAGGCCAATACAAAGCCACACTTTCTCTCTTTTCTTTTTAAAAACACAATACATAGCACATGAGTTTGGAACGATTTCCCTAAAAATTGCTTAAACATAAACTTATTCCCTATATGCATCGGTTTAAAAACTTATTCCCACAATGTTGTCCACGTAAAACCAGTTCTAATAATTTAATAACATTACACTTTATTTTTTTATCCATTTCCCTTTGTTTATTAGAACCGCTAACGGTGTATGGAACCGTTGCCACCGTTATGTTGTAACTTTTGTTTATTAGAGCAAGTTTACCGTGTGACTAATCACATACAAAGTTCCAGAATTTATTTTCAATATTAGTAAAGGAAAAGAAGGATGGGAAGGGAAAAGAAAGGATGGGAAGGGAAAAGAAAGGAAAAGAAGGAAAAGAAAGGTGATTTTATTTTCCAATATTTGGTTGATGAAAGGAAATGAAGGGAAGAGAAAGGAAATTACTTTTATTTTTCTCTTTCCAGTCAAATTCCTCCAATTTTGGGAGAAAAGGAAAGCCAAAATTTTGTTAAGAGACTTTCCTCTCACTTCCCTTCCTTTCCTTTAGATTTTTATGTCATTTATTCAACCAAACATGAGAATATGATTAAAACAATTTCCTTTCTTTTCTTTTCCATCCAAATCTCTTCAACCAAAAAGGACCTTGGATATTTGACAAATGAGATTTTTTTACAATATTTATTGAATTTACGTACAAAGTAAAAAAAATTATTACCCCTCTGGTAATTTAATGTTTTAATCAACATATCCTAGGATTTTTTATTTATTTAAAACTAACGAATAATAATAAAATAAATAGATTTACAGATTTTTTTTCCAGAGATTATGCAAAAAATAAAATAAAAAATGAATCAAGAGATTGTACGGAGTAATAAATATACAATATTTTAGCTAATCATACATTGTTTTTTTGCTGCAAGCTAATCATACATTGTATGAGCTTTAATATGATATAGAAATATTTAATAATATAGAAGCAAAATATTCATGAAAAAGGAAATAAATTATAAATTAATAGCATAAGTTAATTGTTTATACGTAGTAGAAACAAAACCTATCTTTTTTTACTTAAAAAACAAAAAAAAAATTGTAAGTAATTTAAGGGTGCAATTCTTATAGTAAGTTTGCTTATATAATTGGTAGTATAATATATACGGAGAATCTTATTTCATATTTGCTTGAAATAATTAAATTATATCTCATATTTTCTTGAAATAATTAAATTATATCTCATATTTGCTTGAAATAATTAAATTATATCTCATATTTGCTTGAAAAACCCGAATTAAAAAAGGAATTCGTAACAAACCTTAGAGAGAAATTCCTAAGCTACAAATACAAAGAGAAATAGCAGGGTAATTTCGTAAAATGAAACTATAAAAAAAATATAAATAAATAAAAAACAGAGCACAAATACCCCAACATAAAAAAAGAGGAGAGAGAGTGAGAAGAGAAGAAGATCCCCTCCCTCTTGTTCTTCTTCGTGTTTAGAGAGAGAAAAAAACCCTTAGAGAGAAACCGGCGAGAAGAAGAAAAGGAATTTACTTTTCTTCCTTCTTCTACCTTCGATTCGATTCGATCCTCATTCAATCTGTTCATCTTTCCCCTTTAATTTTTAAACCCTAATTTTAATCTTCCCCCAATTTCATACCAAATTTTTATTTTTATTTTTTGATCGTTTAAGTTAACTCGTTGGCATAAACCGAGTGATACCCAATACCCAGAAAAACCAAAAAAAAAAAAAAAAACCCTAATTTGGAATTTTCTTGGTTTTGATGGCAGCGACAGCTAACAGCAATCCTTCTCCTTCTCTCTCCTCTTCCTCCGCCGCCATATCGCCGAGTTCGACTCGGGCCGTGTTACCTCCGTGGTCCGGTGGCGTTCGACGCCCGGAATCTGAGTCAACCGGAGCTCCAAAGTCGCCGGTGGAAACAGGTGAGAGGAGTTTTTCATCGGCGCCGGAGATTCCGGCGGAGAACTCCGAGAATGGGGGCAATGCGGGTGGTAAAAGGCCCGCTTGGAATAAGAAACCGTCTAATGGACCCGTTGAGAATGGTGGGCCTGGCCCAGTTGTGATGGGCTCTTCTGCCGCTTGGCCCACTCTCTCTGAGACCAAAAACAAAGCTCCTCCTAAGCTTTCTTCTTCTGATTCCTCCAAAAGTCTTCCTGATTCTGGATCGGTTTCTTCTCCTCAGGTTTGCGTACTCTAATTTGTTTGATTTTTATTTATTTTTGGGTAATTTGTTTGCTTCTTAGATCATGTCATCCTGAAAATTATGATTTTGATTCAAAGTTTATTTACATATATAAATTCGGCTGATTTTATTAGGTATAAATTAGGGCTTAGTAGTGTTTTGATAAAATAAATTATTGATATTATAAGTGATGTTTGATGCTGCATTGGTTTTGTTAAATTAATTAGTTTTATTGGCTAAAAGGATCCGAGGGAACATGTTGTTTGATAATTTTATATATTTGTATAATTATCCTGTATTTTATTATTATAATTTGGGTTTATTGACGGAATTGTTGTTTCATGTTATGGTGTGGACTGTGGAGGATGTATTTGGGTTTTTGAAGCGATGGTGTTTATTGAGATTTTAGAGCATTGGATTTTATGGTGATGTTATGCTATCGGTTTATATATCGAGTAATTATTGGTAATTGGTAATTGGTTGGAAGGTGACTGATGTGAGAATGAAACGTTTGGGGTTGTTACATTCCAGTCTTCTGTGATTATATTGATCAAGTTTCCTCCGGATAAAGTGTACGGAGTACATGTTTTCCTTAAAGATAATAGTTTGATTTGTCATCAATCATCATCGTCTTTTTTTTGTTATATATGTCTATATTTTGGTTGTGATGGTTTGGTTTGCTCTAGGTAATTGCATCCGAATCATCATCGTTGTCAATAGCTCCACCAGTACAGTCGTTGCCACAATCTTCATCAGCTTCTCCAAAGCCTACAACTAGTAGTTTGAGCCATAACTCTATGCCAAACCATGGACGTCCAGCGCGCCAAAAATCAATGAAGCGGGATAGTGGGGGAAACTCACAAGCTAATGGCGGTTTTTCTCATCAACCTTCATCTGCTGTGGAAGGTTCACACAATCATAATCATAACTCCTCAAAACCTACTTCTGGTGGTGCTTCTGACAGTTCTGGCAGAGACAACATTCAAAACCATGGTCACCGAGATCCGGGATCACGGAATGCTAGTGGGGATCATCCTCAGCCGCGCAACTCATACAGGAGGGGGGGTGGTGGGTCCCATTCACGAGGAGATGGTTCACATCAGAATTATGGGGGGAGACGCGACGATCAGGATCGTGGGAATCATGATTGGAACCATCAGAGGAGTTTTAATGGGAGGGATTCTACCATGCAACCAAGAGTCTCTCCTAGAGGATTTGTGAGAACCCAGCCTGTTCCTCCTCCTTTTGTTCACACTCCACCTATGCGACCTTATATGAATCCTATGGGGGTTGGTAAGTTTTCATAGTTCCTTGCTGGCTAGAGTGCTGTTGTATGGGACTATGGGTACATATCTAATTTATTTGAATGTTTCAGAGCTCCCTTTGTATTATGTCCCTGGCAGTGTGCCTTTTGTTGCACCTGCACCTGTGTATATTCATGCTGCTCCAGATCCTCAGTTGCATACTAAGATAGTGAATCAGATAGATTACTATTTCAGGTACTTATTCTGGACTTCCTCTTTTCTGTACTGGGTATTTCTGAACTAATTGATGATGTGATCATTTATCTAATCATTTTGAGTTATTTATTGTGTTTTGACAGCAATGAGAATTTAATCAAAGACACATTTCTGCGGAAACAAATGGATTCACAGGGTTGGGTTAATGTTGGATTGATTGCTGGTTTTAAAAAAGTGAGTTTTTGTTCTGATGCAAGTTTTATTTAGATTTTCTTCTTGCCGTCTAATTTGATCTATTTGCCTGCTGATTGTTATTGAAATTTCATGACTCAGTTTTGCTCCTATCTTAATTTGGTTCTTCTTAATGCCCAGTACCCACTGTTCAATTGTCATCTAGTGCCCTTTCCTTTTAAAATAAAATGATCTTATATGATCTTACTTTGTAAGTATACTCTGGCAGTAACTTTAGTCCTGGCATTCTTTCTTTACCATGAATTCTTTCTACGCTCATCTTAATTTCTCAATGATTAATTAGCTATATTCCATGCTTTGTGTACTTGGGTCAATCTATGGGCGGCTTCTTTCGTCTGTATTTTCCTGTACCTTGCTCTTTGCAGGTTTTTTAAGTGGTTCTTACAGTACCTTGAATGTTTAATTTAATGACTTCGCTCAGAATTAAATAATTTTTGGGGTGGTTTGTTTTATGTAAATAGTGAGAGTATTGAATGTGTTATATTATCTAACCAGTAAAGTCGATGGCTCTGAGTCTTTTGTAAGGTCCTCCATGATGGCTCTGAGTTTCTTGACCTTACTGAGCTTTTCTGCTTGAAATATTACATCTCTGTAACATATGTAGCTGTTTTTATTTTTATTGCAATCTAGAGCGCTCTGTTTTGCTACCTAAACAATGTATCTTATAACATTGCTTTCAAGTTGCTCTTCTATTATGTGGATCTGGCTCACCTGTATTTTGAATCTGGGAATGTTTACAAGTGGCTTGTTAATTTTCCCATGTTTATCCATGTTGTAGTACCAACACTCCTAGTTTTGATTCAAGAATGATGCAGCATAAAATATCTCATAATATATGTGTGATATCTGTCTTAAAGTTAACTTTTCGGTTGAATATGCATGATTTCAAAAAATAGCTGAATATTATTGAAATAATGTGAAGCAAATGGTGAGAAAAAGTAAAATGAATTGTAATGAAATAAAGAATAACGCATGGATGTAATGAAAAATGGGAGTGTAATGAAAAATAACGATCAATTTTAGAGAGTCTTGTGGCTGATTTGTAACAAGATGACAATGTTGAATATACATTATTTTGGTAGATTATGTTTGAATTAGAGGATGGCTTTGTTCTTTTCTTTCCCAAAGAACTTTACTTTGTCACCATGTAAACTATAACCACTCAATTCACTCCCATTTGTTTTGTCATTTATGGCCTTGCAGTAAATGGAATTTACTCATTTAAGTCTACTGATTTTGTTTGGGATGACAAGTGGTTGGAGGGTATCACACTATCACTATCACCACTGCATTTGAGGATAGATTTGGGGTTGGATTGTGGGAATGAGGTGGGAGGAATGTAAGATGGGTATGAAGATGTGAGAGTAGGTATACTGACTAAATTAAGTTTCTAGGCTGGTTAAAGCGAAAGTTTTGCTTAATGATTTCATTGTAGAGGATAGTAAATGTGAAGTCCGAAGCATTGATTGTAAAGAATAGCTCGAGAGGGAATTTGACTATTTAAGTTGATGGTTATCTGAGTTATAGGCTGCTGTGACATCTAGAGATTGCTATAAATCTACAGGCTTTCTGCATATGATTTGTCATTGATTCTTCTGGGGATGATCTTTTTTTTTTTTTTTTTTAATTTTTTTTATAATAAATAAATATTTCCTGCACTGTTTTCCTTTGCGTAAGGCCACTTATTTAGTTATTTGTGTATCATCATGTTTGAGATAGTATGTTTGACAATATTGTTGGATCACGTATCTCACTGATTGGTTTGTATATGTAAGAACTCACTTCAATGAATTTGATTCTTTCTTTTGACATCGCATTGATATTGATTGATTAAGCTGATTGATCTTCTAGCTGTACTCGATTTGCCTGCGAGAAGTTTTGTAGGTTTCCATGTTTCTAATTAATTTCAGACCGTTTTTGTTACTATTTCCCTTTTCTTGCTTGCAATTGTTTGTTTATGAAATATGCGTATGTAGTACTTTCTTTCAGAAGGTTAAAGAAAGTTGGTCTGATTTATGTTGTATTCCAAAGGGCAGTAAAATCATCTTGTTCACTTGTTCATAGCATTGTGGGACAACTTTCATGGTTGAAGCAGGATATAACTAACAAGAATCCCTCTCTTGGCGGAATATGAAATCATCTGCTATCAGTGAAAAGAGATCATCATTCTTGTTTTATATTGCTGATGCCCCATTTATCTGGCACCCTCCCCCATGTCGGGGCTTTTGTTCTTCCAATTTCATTTTGATCAGTTGTGGAGTTCGATTTATTTGTTTCCTCTTTTCTTCATTATTTCTTCTATTCTCTTTAGAACTCTTTTAATATATTGTTATGTTGGCCATAAGAGAGTATGGAAGTGAGTATCGTCAAGAGATGAAGTTCCTTGTGAGTTTTGAGTAATAGGGAAGTAGGATTCCTTGTTTTTACGCTCCAAAGTAGGATGTCGTTGCTGTTTTTATATTACCATGTCAAAGCTATTGCCCTCTCCTCCATTTTCATACGTTTCAGCTTAATTTTCCTAATTCTGCACTTTCTTTACGCATATAGTTATGAGTATTGATAATTTTGCATTTTTTTCAATATCCTTTGCAAGTCTATAGCAGAAAATTCAGACCTAGGGAATTAGTATTTATTTATTTTTTTGTATCTGCCTGTAAGTCTATATTTACTCCCTATTCTCATTTTCCATAACGTAATGTCTTTAATTCATCTTCCACTGTTTTAAATGTCCCCAAATTTATTTTCCCATTTCCAGTTGAGGTTTCTTTTTCTCATCAACCTATTTTTTTTCTTGAATCTAATCGTAGCTCTTTCAATTTTACTTAACTCCCTTTTAAATTTTTATCTCACTTTACATATACTTACTGACCAAGAGAGTATCTTTACACAAGTCGCAATCATTTAGGCACAGAATTCTGTTCATTGATTTTTTTATTCTGAAATGTATATGCTCTTTGATCTGTTGGTATAGAAAAATGGAAGTCGTGCAAATAAATTATGCAGTTATTGTCTATTTTTCTTGTGAAATGACCATTGATTCCCTTTTCATTTTACTTTGGTTATTGGAATGTCTCAACTCTTCAAACTATATATTATGCAGTATCTCTTTGTCAATGTTATGTTGGAACTTGATTTCAGGTCAAGGAGTTGACAGAAAATGTTCAGCACATATTGGATGCTGTGAGGTCTTCGACTGTTATTGAAGTGCAGGTAATATTCATGCCTGCTCAATTGATTTAATTATTTACCACCCCATCCTTTTTAAGAGCAGGGTTTTTGAAATTGTCTTGAGTGTAAAGTTGTTTTTTATTTTTTGGTAAATTACGATTGCAGGGTGAAAAAATCAGAAAACGTGATGATTGGGTAAGATGGATTATTCCAACAACTTTGCAGGATTCAACTGCATCTGGATCGCAATCTCCTAATTCTCCAACTACTGCTACACTGCCAGCTCAGTTTCAAAATCTTAAAGTAGATGAGAAGACCATTGATCAGAATCATTCTAAGGCTCAGCTAGATGTTAACGCTGCTACAATCTTTAGATCATCCTCTGGGGATTTGCATAGCCCGTCAAAGTCTGTTAAGGATGGAGCAAGCTCAAGTGGATGTTGATCAACTGGATCCAGCCTTTATTTCAGGCGAGGATCATGCTGATTATATTTGATCCGGAAACACCATGTGGAATGTAGGAACAGGGGATGAATGACCTTGGTGAGTATAATCCATTTATTCTGGATCATGACTTGCAATTACACCATGTTTTGCAAAGCAGATATATTAAACTATAAAACTCAAAAAAAAAAAAAAAAAAAAAAAAAAAAAAAAAAAAAAAAAAAACCAAAAAAAAAAAAAACAAAAAAAAAAAAAATAAAAATAGAAAAAATAGAAAAACAAAAAGATTGAGAGATACAACCAACAAGATAGACTGCGGAAGAAGAATCCTAAAAAATTTTGTTTTTTTTTTTCCTTCTCTTTGTTTCCCCCCCTTTTGTGTGTATGTAATATCTTGACCTTGTGGCAGGAGTTTATGGGTCTTTTTGTTTTTTTTTTTTTTTTTTTGGGATGTGATTATGGTAAAATCAGTTTTGCCTTCATCTGTGTTGATTCTGGTGCCTCAGTAATTTGTTTGGGGAATTTTGATTTCATGTCCCTCTGCCCCTCAGCCTGTTTTTATCATAATCTTTGGGGCTATTGAGAAGTTAACTACTGAAATGTCATCGATGGATGAGTCTTGTACATTGTTGAGGATGACAAAGGTGGTGAGTTTATCTGAAGCTGCTGATCGTGCATCGCTCCTGCCATTTAACTTTACTCTGGTGTTTGAAAGTCTCTTGTCTCTTATATATACTGTGTCGTATTTAGTTTATACTGTGCAGTGCTAACACTGCAAAGACTTGCACTCTCTTGGTGAGAGAAGTGTTCTAGGTTAGAGTTTGTTATGTTCAGAACTTCATTTGAAACTAGATGTTAGCAAACGTATGGATTTGATGTTGGTATTGACTTGAATTTTTATCTATTATTGTTAGATTAGTGGTAAATTTTGTGACACCTGCCTTGGTTGAGACCATATAGGATCTATTGTGGCATCTAAGATTATTGACAGGGATGAGACCCTGTAGTTATTTGGAGCTGCGTGCTTATGAACCATATGGCTGGCTTAATCGACCTTGGGTTACAATTGAATTTGGGGATGAAATTGATCAAAACTATGGTATGCTTTATGTGTAGTCACTAGTCAGACATCTACTGCCTCTTTAGCCTTTCCTAATTGTGTGTTTTTTTGGTCTACACTGCCAAATTTATCCATTTCCATTCTAAACAACTTTACGAAGTACTTCGTATTTGTTTTGGCCAGTTTAGTGTTTTCTCACTCTCTTGCCATAGGAGATTGTGGAGACCACTTTGTTTGGAGCTAGTCACTTGATATATAGCAACCTTTGTTCCAAATTACTTGCTCAATTACCTTAAATGCATATAAACTGAAGTTTTACAATTGTTACGGAGTAATTCTTAGAGCACACGTCCACATTAGACCTAAATCACCTAATACATTGAAATCACACTTAGAATATTTTCATAGTATATTAGTTTATCCTAGAATGAAAAAAATCAGTGGGTTTTGATCAAATTGCCGATTGCAAATGATGACCTAAAGTCTATGCTCTTCACAATAAATTCTCGTGTGAAGGTTATACTTCGTATTTTATTTACCTGCTCCCTTTGTATGTACATGTACCCGAGGAAATAGGGAAAACTAGTCGTGGTTGCACCTTTCAGTAAGTAGCCAAGTAGGTTAACACCCGAGGAAATAGGGACTAGTAAAGATTTTTGAGTTGATTAATGTTATATTTCTTGAATCTGAGAGCGGTTGCTCTTTTTTAAAGTCTTCAACGCGAAGTGATTTGCCAAATTTCTCTTTTAAGTTATAGCGCCAAGGGCAGTAAAGGACCCAATGAAGCACATGGAAAGTGTTGCAAACTTTTATTTATTAACATGGGTTATTTTTGTACTAAGCTGTCTCTGATCAGTTAAAGTTGAGCTGTGTTACAATCTGATTCAAGTAAAGGTTGATGATGACAAAGTAATGCTAATCAGCTCATTGTATGTCGTTTAAAAAGTTTCATTGTATCGTCCTTTTATTTATTAACATGGGTTATTTTTGTACTAAGCTGTCTCTGATCAGTTAAAGTTGAGCTGTGTTACAATCTGATTCAAGTAAAGGTTGATGATGACAAAGTAATGCTAATCAGCTCATTGTATGTCGTTTAAAAAGTTTCATTGTATCGTCCTTTTATTTATTAACATGGGTTATTTTTGTACTAAGCTGTCTCTGATCAGTTAAAGTTGAGCTGTGTTACAATCTGATTCATGGGGTTTGTACCACGAATTGTTTACGGCAACCCTACCACTTGATATCGTCCTTTTTTCAAGTAAAGGTTGATGATGACAAAGTAATGCTAATCAGCTCATTGTATGTCGTTTAAAAAGTTTCATGTAATTCATTTTAACTTTTCTTCTCGAGGCTTATTACAACTAGGGAAAACTGAAGAGTTATGGTATCTTATGCACACGTCACACGTCATGCGATTATAGATAAAGCTAATTCTCCGATGTGATTTAGCTAAAACGAGAAAGTAGCAAATTTTAAGCTCCAAGCCTCTAACGTTGGTGTATAATTTGCACTCATGTTTCCCTCTCCTCCAAAAGTTTTTGGAGTATAATACATGCTCTAACAAATGCTTTCGGTTTTTTTTTTTTTTTTTTTTTGTGTTAATTAATACTGTATAAAAAAGTACTCCTTCTATTCTTTATAATTAGAGAGTTTCACTTAAACGATTAAGAACATCATTTGTTGTGATAAAGCTGTCTTTTCTCTTTTTAAAAATCATTCATACTTTTTATTTTACTTTATAGATTTTTTAAGTTAAGTTTGTCAATGCACAAATTTAATGATTGATATCTAAGTTATCAACAAGCAAAAATTACTCCGGAAAAAGTTGATATTTTGAAAATATATACCGTGACGAATCTAATAAGATTTGACATGATTATTTTTTCATTGTTGTAAAACCAGAAAACACCGTCAAAAGGAAGTGCGTGAACAGTGTAATAGTCAAAAAGCGTTAATTAGAGAAAACGAAGGAATTATTTGAAGAGCTATTCTAAAAGCATCAATGTACACGCTATTTAGAGTTGGCCAGTGGGCCAGGTTGGACCCAGCCCACCCTGACCCGCACGGTTGGTGGGTCACGTGGGTCCGACCCGATTTTGACCCGGCACAACAAGGTTTAGCTCGGGTTGTGTCGTGGGTCTATGATTTCCGACAACCATTTTGACCCAGCTCGTTTTGACCCGTTTGATTCGTCCTAACTCGCACGACCCGTTTTGAGACTTTTGACCCATTTAATTCGAGTCACCCAAACCCATGAACCCACCCAACCCGATCCAGCTTGCATGGCCCACGACCCATGCAACCCGCATGACCCACCCAACTCGCACGACCCACACAAACTTCATATTATAAGTTACTATAGATATTTTTTGTTAATGTTGTACTTTGTCTTTCGTACTTATCTTTACATACTATTTTGACATTTAATCACTACAAGTATCATTTTATTAATATTTTCTGTCAATGTATCTAATTATATTGTAGAATTTTTATTTTTCACACATTTAATTAAATAACCCGCGGTAACTTAATTTGCACATTATTTTATTCAGTTTCACATGAACAATAATCTATTCAAATTTACGTAATACACTACTCCGTAATACTTACAAGCTAAGACCAATTTCTCTAAATCTATGCACAAACACATTTGTTTGTTTGTTTTTTTTTGTTTTTTTTTCCCAAACCTTGACATATTATGATAGGTATCTAATAATGATTTTTTTTGGGTATGGAATACAAACAATAAGTTGAAATTGAGACATTGGAATAATTAAATTTGGGTCATATTCGAAATGTTTGAAGTTTGGAATATAGTCCTGTAAATGTTAAGAAAGAATGGTGATAAAAAATGTGTAAGAGACCTAAGCATTTGTAGTGGGGTGAAATTGTCCTTAGGGTGAAATCTTTACTCCTACCACTTGTAAATTGTGACCAATAGGCTCTAGATAGGTGTTACATTTATCAGAATTCAAAGGCTGTCCCACTTGAATAAGAAGAATCAGTATTCTGACATACACTCCTTTTTTTTTCTTTGTTTTTCCTGAGTCCTCCTTCTTTGGGAACAGCAAATATGATACTCGCACCTATTCTTTGTCTTTTGCGCAGTGCTGTAATGTTTCTCAACTGTACATGCTGTACTCCCTACTTAACTGTGCTACTACTCTACTACAACCTCAACTATATACAGTTTCATTCACTAACATACTTGTATATCTCACTGCCTATTGGTCTTTAGGGTTTAGCGGTATGTGACTAAGGCGTAAGTGCCCCATGGTGTGATAAAAGTTGTTTTCTATCATGTATATAGGTTATAGTCGCTATACGGATGCAATATAGTGGTATGTGACTAAGGCATAGGGATCTCCTTATCCTTTCTTTCTTTTTTACTTAGGCCTGTTTTAATTTGCTGAACTAACTGAATTGAAATAATTGGAGCTGAATTGCAATGAATTGTTTATGAAAAGGAAATTAGCAATTAAACCGAATTAAACTGAACCGAACTAAAATTAAGCCGAAGAAAACAAACTCTTAGCTTATTAAAGTTTTGAGTACAAAACTCAGGTGGGGGTTAGACCTTACAAATAAATACTCATACCTAGGCTATAATCACTTAGGAGGTTAGGACTATAGACCTATAGTGTATGATATGTTGACTAATGACTAGTAATGAGTAAGGATCTTCTTAATTCTTTATCCTTCTACTTGACTTGTTAAAGTTTGACTAGAAACTCGTGAGCAGTTAGGTCTTACTACGCATATTGATTTCAATTACACTTAAATAATTGAGATGTAAAGAAGTTGTTTGAATTTTTTATTTTTATTTTTTAAAAAAGGTAATGCATGAAGCACATTGCCTATTCTAAGAATTGATAATCTAAAACTCCTATTTGAGATATTGAAAAACTCATCCTGGTTTGACACGTGAACAAAATACACCAACTAAACTCCAGTTCATGGCCAGAAATGAAGCCTCCAAAACTTTTGGCTGCTATGGCCCATGGCTTTAGGGGCTTCATCAATTCTATTTTGCCTTTTTTACTACCCTCCAAATAGGGCAACATACTACTATATTTGATTTATCTTTTAAGGGTTATGCTTAAATGCCAACAATGGAATATAATATGTAATTAGAAATTTGTAAGGTACATAGAAAAATTAGAAATTAGAAATTTGTTACTTGTAAGGTACATAGTATAATATGTACTCCTTCGGTTCATTTTTTCATTTACTTTATTAAGCCTTAAGCAAAAAATTATCCATGTGTTGGTTTGCTTGTGGAGACATTAACAAATAACAAGTTTGTGGAAGGAAAAACATACGGAATACTATTTAATATGGGACAATAAATTTTAATTTTTTATTGGAATTTTTTTTATGGAACAATAAAATATTTTTGTACTATAAATAGGAATATGGGGAACCAAAAAAAACTTGGTAAATGATTGAGTGGGCATGGAAGATAAGATAGGGCCATATGGGTGAATGGTGAATTGGCGACAGCAGCAAAATGTAGTCCAAGAAAAAAGAAATGATTGAGAAGAGATAAAGAAAGGGGAACTGGTTTGTCCAATACAAGTATAACCTGTTTCATTTACCTCAGGAGTCTCAACCCTTTCTTTTCGGCCCGTGATCATACTTGACTAATCCTTTTCTATTCCATTTATTTCTACACTTTTGTCCAAACACTAATTAATCTTCATTCTTCATTCCTAGTGTTGTCGTGTTCGACCTATATATCACTCCCGATTCCCGAATAAGTAGTATACTAGATTACTAGTATGATACTTACGTAGTATTCCCTCTGTTCCTTTATTTTTGTCCTATTTGATTTTTCACGATCTCTGAGACGTGTTTAAAACGAATACATATCTCTATTTTTATTCACGTAAAAATTATAAAAGCTTGATATTAATTAAATATACAACAAGACGAACACAATAAGATCACACATGATTATATTAGCTCTTACATATCAATGACAATTGATGATCAAAGTTTAAAACGTTAGACCCAAATAATAGCAATTGGGCAAAAAATTAGGAATGAAGGGAGTATATAAGATGAATCAAGTATAAATTTTTTCTTCATTGTTTCACTTGAAAATGTACTACTGTACATATTTTGTTAAACGGAAAAGTAGTAGGGAGTATAATGAAAATGGTGATAAAATTAAAGGAAAGATATGATGGAAGAGGGAGAATCTGTTAAGTGATTAGATAGAGGTAAGTAGTGGCAGTGGTAGCAAAATTAAACATAGAGACACGTAATCGTAGGAGCGGCGGCATGCTTATGTACTACTCACTTCTCATTACTCACTTGACTGAGATGAATGACTGGTAAAACACTATTCACTGTACTCCGTATACATCGTACAACCACATTGATAAACACTCCGATTCTCTACTGTTTTAAATTAGATATTTCTCCACTTCCCAACACTTGTTAAATCATTCTTTAGCCTACTTCAACAAATCTGTCCATCCATCTCTCTTTTCTACCATAAGTTAAGTGGACAATACATGTACACTACTACTACGGACTAGTTTATACTCGTACACCCGAGTGTGCGTATAAGAAATGTTAGTTCAATTTTTATCTTCTTACACCAAAAAAAAAAAAAAAACAGTATAGAATATATACGGAGTATATATACTTCGTATCACCTAATGTTAGAATATTACATGGAATTTAATTAAGACTTGATTACTCGTGTGATTTATGTTAGATACATCATACATGTATTCCAATCGGCTTTTTTTTTTTTTTTTTTTTTTTCTTGGAGTATCAATTTTGGCTCAAAATAATGTATTCAGTTGAGGTAACAGTATCACTGGAGCTATTAAATCGAGTATGTGGACAGGTTCGGGCATGGATCAGAGGATAGTTCAAGTCACTTTGTGAGTGGGATCTTTCTCTTGTTAAAAACAGTTATATATTCACTGGTTTTCTAGTTTCCTGTAGGATTTGTGGTAATTGTTACCATTTGATCACAAGAGAAAAAAAAATGAATGAAACAATACAAAATACGGAGTACTTGAGTACTCTTCCCTTGAAAAAAAAAAAAAAAAAAAAAAAAAAAAAAAAAAAAAAAAAAAACTTAAGTACTCTGTAACTGTGTTTCATTTTTGTTTGTTGAGAAACACTAATCAATTAAACAAATCAAATTATTTTCACTAAAAAATTAATTTATTTAAATGATAATCTTATTAAACTATGCTTATGGACAAATGACTTCAACAAGATGCAGAGTGTTATCTTTTCAAATTAGACGGTATGGAGTATTTCAATTAACTAATTCTACTCTAAGTAAAATTGTTATGAGTTAGTCATATTTAAAATTTTGAATGTACATAATATCAAACTAGAATGAAATATACAAGTAGCTAATAAGATCCTGTATTTTCTTTTTAATATATACTATGTATAAATAAAGAGTACAAAAGATACAATAGATCAATCTTTTAGCATTGAAATAAAATTACACTCATACAATGTGTTTAAGTGAATAAGTGTTTTCTCAATCTCAAGTAGTACATTGCTTTAGCCTTTACTCATACAAGTACTTACTTTATGATGCTATACCTTTAGACCCTTGATAGTAGTAGAGGTATTCGATTTAAAAGTACGTTGGTTCTATCCCTCTTACTCGGGGGTGCTTATGAGACGAGACAACTCGTAAGCTACTCGAGTTCGACTCGGTCAAAACTCGATTTGAATGAGCTTGACTTGAAATGTTAATGAGTTGAGTCGAGTAGTTCATTACTCGACTCGAAAGCTCGTAAGAAGCTCGAATTCCTTTATATGATATGATATTTACTAAAAAGTAATTAAAATATATTTATAAATAAAACTATTTTTTTACATTAATAATTAACAGGTAAACATTACTTATGCACTCTTACCATCATTTGCATGATTCTCAAATGAAAAAGTTAAAGAGGATGAGCAAATGTATGTTACTCTAAATAGAGAGTTATGCTGAGACGAATCAAATTGCAAACTGCTTGATATTTACTCGATCAAAGCTCGACTCGGTCAAATTTGGTCAAAGCTTGAGTCAATTAAACTCAACTGGATATGGCTACCCCAACTCAAACTCGACTCGCATTATAAGCACCTCTACAGTCTTAAGGGTCCGTTCTCATATGATTATTTTCAGTTCAGTTCAGCTCTAATAAGTTCAGTTCAGTTCAGCTCTAATAAATTCAGTTCAGTTCAGCTCCTAAATTCCTTCTCTTATAAAATATTCATTTCACTTCATTTCAATTCAGCTCTAATAAGTTCAGTTCAGTTCAGCTCTAATAAGTTCGGTTCATTCAATGAGAACAAACCCTTACTCCATATGTGAGACAAATTTGATATAAGCAGAAACATCATTGTAAAACGGAGGGAGTAATAAACTTGCTTTTAAATGTTTAAATCTATATGCCTATCTCTTGCATGGTGATTTTTTCAAAACAATGCGTATCGATATTACGAGTAAGTATTACCCACTACCAGGTATGGGTAATACTACCCAATATCACAATATATTTTTTATTTTTTTTTAAAAAAAATTTCCTCTACCAGGTATGGGGTAATACTACCCACTCAATTTAACTTCCAGAGAATATTAGGGACCATGATAAACATTTTGACAATTTTTATTTTCGGGCGAAAAAAAAAAATAAAAAAATCTCAAAATTGAAGGCTAATATCCACACTTTATGAGTAACTAGCCTTCTGGCCCGTGCAATAATGCACAGATTGTTTATAGGTATGTAATATAATTTTTAATTTTATAATACTCGTATATTTTTTATTGGAAAATTAATAGTTATAAAGAAGAATAAGGGGTGAAAATTGAATGTAATTGTAGAAAATATTAAGTTGGGGGAAAGTGAATCAAACATTCATTCATGCATTGAATTAAAGCTAGTGTATTTTTTTAATATGAGAAAGATTAAATGAGATGACATGTGACCTTGGTGGAAAAATATAATTTACATGTGGCATCATGAGAACGATGGTTTGTGTTTTTAAATACTAAGTATAGATTTTGGAGGTTTCGAGGTCAGGTGTAGAAAAATATTAATATTTTATTTTTTTCCCTTTCCTCTTCATCTTCCTCTTCCCTTAAACCCTTTTCCCACCTCTATGGATAGCTCCCATTGCCGGCCAAACCTCTGCCCACCACACCTTCACCTCCAACAGTAAGAAACCCACCCCACTAGCTACTACCTTGGTCGAATATCCAAAAACACGCAACTATCTCCGTTAAAAATCACCGAAATTCACCCAAAAAAATAACCCAAAAACGAGAGACACAAACTTATGGCTCTAGCCATTAAAATCGGTGAGTTCTATGCTGGAAATCGTTGAGTTTGGTCGAAATTGACGACGGTACTTGTTTGTCGATGCTCAGTTATTATTAATTTCTATACTGTTATTATTGGTTTGTGTACTGTTATTCTTCATTTGTATACTGTTATTCTTAATTTGTATACTCTTATTAAGAGGAAGGAGACTACGTTTTTACAACATAGGTAAATTATACGTGAAATTACATTTTTGCCCCTGGTATTGGCCCTATGAGCCTATACTTGGTAGTGGTCTATCACTACTCTCGATATTACACATATCAAGCATTGTCACGTTTCTCACTACTCGTTGATATATGATGTGTACATAAACACGGTATAGAATTACATGGTCAAATGCGTTCTCACATGCCATTATTCATTGAGTTATGGAGTATACCTATCACAGTACAAATTACACGGTCAAATGCGTTCTCACATGCCATTATTCATTGAGTTATGGAGTATACCTATCACCTTCAATTAATTTTGGAAAAAGTTTGAAAATTACCATTAATAGTAGTAGTACACCCACATGATCATAGGATTACTATTTTTTAACAAGAGATAATCTTAGGATTACCTCTTTTACTATTTCCCTTCCAAAAATAGTTGAATCCCAAATAGATGGTTACAAAAACTCACACACTCACCCATTGGCCAAAAGACCATTCCCCTCTTCCCAACCTAAAAAACAACCTCCATACCCCTAATCACACGTGCATATCACGTGACCTTACAAATACAGATAATAATGACAAAATAAGATAGTACACACAAAACACTTTCTCTCTCTAAAAACAGTTTCTCTCTCTACTTTTTTCTGCTCCACTCCTGCAATACAAAACTTACATACACCCCCCTTCACTTCACCTCAACCCTTCCTCCTACTCCTTCACCATTTTCTCTTTCTCTCTCTAAAAACACTTTCTCTCTCTTGTCCAATCAAATGTTGTCATCATCATCATCACCACCATCAAGTGACTCTACATTACTTTCCCCTTCTTCATCATCTTCTTCATCCCCTTCTTCTCACCTTAAACCCAACAATCAAAATTCTGAATCAAAAACAACTCAAACCCAGAAAACAATGGAGGAAGTTTGGAATGATATCACCATTAACTCACTCCCAAACACCCCAATTTCTCACATTCACTCAATTCATCACCCTACTTCAACCAACACTGCTTCCCATTACAAGGGTTTCATCTTCCAGGATTTCCTCAATGGTAGTGGTAATTACCCCACTAATCTTCGTAATTCCTCCGTCGATTTGCCGCCTCTTCCTCCTCGAACCACCACTACTGAATTTCAATTTCTCGATAATGAGTTTCAATTACAGGGGAATCCCTCTGTTCCTAGTATGATTTCTGGTGTTGCTCCTTTTGATAATCTTGCTTCTTCCTCTGTTCTAGCCACCTTCGCAACCGCTGTCAACAGCGGTTGCGGAGGTGGTTTCGATAACAAGAAGGTGGCTGATAATGTTGTGGATGGTTCGGTTGATCGTGTGCGCAGGCATAAGCGGATGATCAAGAACAGAGAATCTGCTGCTCGTTCTAGGGCGCGAAAGCAGGTTTTTATTATTCTTGTTTTATTTTCTACTGTATTATTATTAATATGTGTTATTACTATTTTTATTATTCTCGTCCTTTTAATTTTGGTGCCATTTATGGGAAACAGAATATGACATAAATTTATTTATTTCTTGTTTGGGTCCAATTTAGTCCAATTGGGCCTGGTCACTGAATGATCCAATTAAAAGCCCAAGGTTAAGGTTCAACTCTCCAAATGTGCTAAAGTCAAAAATCAAACATCCTCAAAGCCATGTCAAGGTCAGTCAACGGCCCAATCAGCTTGGCCCAGCCCAACTGACTTCCGGGCCCAATCCGCCTCCTTCATTAGCCAAGGTATAAAAGCCAACAATTTGGTCAATTCTTGGTAAGACAATAAAGCCTCAAGCAACTAAACTCTTGCACAGCTTTCTCTCTCTAATATACTGACTTAAGCATCGGAGGGGCCTTCCTCGGCGTCCCCCCCGAGGCTAGTTTACGTGTATTTGTTGTGCAGGAAACCCTCGGCTCCTGCGTCGTTCGGACCGAGACCAAGTTCCCTCAAGATAAAAGGATCTTCCGAGATTCGATTGTTTTCATCCGAAACAATTTGGCGCCGTCTGTGGGGAACGCTACTAAATTTCGCGTCAGTCATCAAACACTCCGGCAGTCGCCATGACTAAGAGTGGAAAGAGTTCCAAGAAGGCTAAGAAGGGAGGAGGCCGGATTACGGTGAGGGAACGCCAGCCGGTTTATCCCTCCCCGGAGCAAGCCTCTTCCGAATCGGAGGCCCCCATTTCTCCGGAAAGGGAAGCCTCAAGAGGTCCTAGCCTCCAGGAGGAGAACACCTCGCACCACACTCGGCAGCCGGGGCCATCCCCGAGACCGAGTGGCTCAGGTGCGAGGAACTCCCCGCCGCGCCATAGCGTGCAATCCAGGTCACATCCGCGGGAGACTCCTCCCTCCGGACCCTCCACCGAGGAAGTGGCCAGAGCAGTGGCCATCTGCATGGAGTTCCTTAAAGCTCAAGGGGCTCCAATCCAGATGCCTGATGATCACCAGCCGAGAAACCTGAAAAGGAGGATCGGTCAGGATGATGGTGAACAAGTTCCACCACATAGACAACTCGGCCAGAGGTGGCGAGGGGACACCCGAAACTCCAGTAAGGAGAGGAGGAGGAACCCTCAACCCTCTGACCACTCTGAAGCTCAGAATTCCATGGGGCCCTCCAAGGACCCGGAATTCGCCCGCCAAAGCGTTCACGAACGCTTGGGTTCGAGGGAGGTGAGTGTGCATAGCCGCCTCACCTTCCCAGAGGATACCGGACCCCACCCAACCTTGTCTCAGCCGGGGACGAAAACCACTTCCACCTCTGAGAGAGGAGGGAGCGAGGTCCCTGAGGCCGGGTACAAGGGGAAGGCGGTCATGGTTCCATCGAACTCGCCCTTCCAGAAGTGGATTCTGGAAGAGCATGTGCCAACGGTCAAAATCCCGGCACATATTACTTACGATGGTACCTCAGATCCTAAGGATCACATTGCCTCTTACGAGGGGCACATGTATCTGAACCCGAGGTCTGAGGCTACCTGGTGTAAATACTTTCCTACGACCCTCAAAGGTGTTGCCCAATCCTGGATCACCAAAGGGCTCAAGGAAGGCTCCATAACCGGTTGGAACGACCTCTCCAACAAGTTCAAGAGCAAATTCTCTACGGCCAACCGCCGAGAGAAGACCACTGCAGAGCTAATGAGTCTGCAGCAGGCGGAGGACGAGAGCCTCCGCGACTATCTGACTCGCTTCAGCAACGAGTCATCCGGAATCACAAGCCTGGATCAAGCCTGGCCGTGTTCGCGCTACGGAACGGCCTCCAAGCTGGAAAGTTCCTGGACTTCATGGTCATGCATCCCCCGCAGACCCTGGAGGAAGCCTTGGAAGCATCGGATAGGTTCATCCGAGCCGAGGAGTGGAACAGATCCAGGTCTCAGTCTCGTCCGAGAATTGAGAAGCCGAAAGGGCAGCAGCCCGAAGTCTCGGCGCAGAGGAAAGGGAAGGCTAAGGCCTCAGAACCGTCCTCTGCTGCCGAGCCGAAGAAGGAAAGACACTTTCCCTACACGGGAAGGTACGATTCATACACTCCACTCTCCCTTCCCCGTGCTAAGATTTTCAGCACGACGAAGGACGAGGGGAGATTCAAAAAACCTCGTCCATTGCCTCCCTGGCATCAGACGAGGGGAAAGGACCAGTGGTGCGAGTTCCATGACTCACCCGGACATCGCACCGAGGACTGCGTCCAGCTGAAGGACCAGATTGAGGATCTGGTCCGCAAGGGGTACCTGAGCCAATACCTCGCGGACAGGCGCGAGGAGAAAAAAGCTGAAAAAGATTCTCGGCAGGACCTCAACTTCGCTCGGAAGAAGGATAAGGGACCTCAGGGCAAGGAGTCCCTCGACATCCTAGTTATTTCCGGGGGAATCTCGCGAGGCACAGCCAAACGCCAACTGAGGGGTCTAACCCATCAGATTCATCAGGCTGAGCTTCGGCAGTCCCAGTCACCGGCGCCGAACATCCTGTTCACAGCCGAAGACTGTGAGGGGGTGGTATACCCCCACGATGACCCGCTAGTAATCATTCTGGGCATCGCCAACCGCAACGTCTGGCGGACCCTCGTCGACGGCGGTAGCGGGGCGAACATCCTCTTCCGAGGAGCGTTCGACCAGCTGAGGATGGGAGCCGAGCACCTGGCCCCCGCACCCTACCCGGTGTCTGGATTCAACGGCTCTTCCTCGTATCCTGACGGGAAGATTACACTTCCTGTCACCATCGGCGAAGGCCGAGCAGCTAGGAATATCATGGCCGAATTTTTGGTCGTAGATGCTCCATCTGCATACAACGTGATCATGGGGAGACCCCTCATTCACGGCATTCAAGGAGTCGTCTCCACGTATCATCAAATCATGATATACGTTTCAGACGAGGGACGCTCCGAGAAAATAAAGGGCAGTCAAAAAGAAGCCCGCCGATGCAATCACCTCAAGCCATCCACGTCTCGCCGAGGCGACCGTGGCGATGGGGAGGAAAAGCACCGGGACCGAAACGCCAAAAAGCCGAGAGGCTCAGACGTTTCGGCTAATGAAGCCCCAGACAACGAGAAATCTGATGGGGGCCAAAAGGCTGACTCCGCCTCAGAGCCGAACGACTCTGATGGCCAGCCGCGGTCAGGAAAGTCTGCTAATATTGATAGCAGGCCGGAATTCGAGGAATCCAACTCTAAGAGCATGGAGACGGATGACCTGACCGAGTCAATAGAACTGACCGTAGGAGATCCGAACAGATGTGTTAGCATCGGGTCGTCACTGGAGCCAAACACCCGTGCGGCACTCGTCCAACTCCTACGGGCCAGTGGAGACGTGTTCGCCTTCTCAGCCGCAGAAATGCCCGGGATTGATCCGGACTTCGTCTCCCATAGGCTTAATGTCGACCCCTCCAGTCGACCCATTAAGCAGAAAAAGCGGAACTACTCCGCCGAAAAGAACCAGAACATCGCAGCTGAGGTCGATAAGCTCCTAGATGCTGGGTTCATTGAACCCTGTCAGTATCCGGAGTGGCTGGCCAATGTTGTAATGGTTCAGAAGGCAAATGGTAACTGGAGGATGTGCGTTGACTTCACGGACCTGAATAGGGCATGTCCCAAGGACTCCTATCCGCTGCCGAGGATCGACCAACTGGTCGACTCGACAAGCGGGCATGCTCTGCTCAGTTTCATGGACGCATTCTCGGGATACCATCAGATCTTCATGCACCCCGAGGACCGAGCTAAAACAGCGTTCATAACAAGTTCCGGGTTGTACAATTACAGAATGATGCCCTTCGGATTGAAAAATGCGGGGGCAACATATCAGAGGTTGGTTGATCAGGTTTTCGCCGAGCAAAAAGGCCGAAACATGGAGGTTTATGTTGACGACTCAATCGTCAAAAGCATAAAAGAAAAAGATCATGTCACGGACCTAGCCGAAACCTTCGCCACCCTCAGAAAATACAAAATGAAGCTGAATCCGAAGAAATGTGTCTTCGGCGTGAAGTCAGGCAAGTTCCTCGGCTTCATGGTCAGCAAGAGGGGGATTGATGCAAACCCCGCCAAAGTACAAGCTGCTTTAGACCTCCCCGAGCCGAAGACAAAAAGGGATATTCAGCGTCTAGCCGGGAGAATGGCTGCCTTGTCCAGGTTCATCTCACGAGCCTCAGACAAAGGGCTCCCTTTCTTCAAGGCGCTGAAGCTCCAAAATTCAAAAGGCATTGAATGGGGAGACGAACAAAAGTCAGCCTTTCAGCAGCTCCGTGAACACCTGGCTCAACTCCCAACACTGGCAAGGCCAGTCGTAGGAGACATCCTATACTTATACGTGGCGGTCAGTCCAGCCACGGTAAGCGCGGTGCTGCTAAGGGAAGAAGAAAAAGTTCAACAGCCGATCTATTTCGTCAGCCACACCCTGACGGATGCCGAGACGCGCTACCCATTGTTAGAAAAAGTGGCTTATGCAGTGGTGGTGGCTGCTCGGAAGTTGCGACCCTATTTTGATTCTCATCAAATAGCGGTTCTAACTCATCAGCCGTTAGAGAAAGTCCTCGGCAAGGTTGAAAAATCCGGTAGACTAGCAAAGTGGGCTTTCGAGCTCACCGAGTTCAGTATCGGTTATCAGCCGAGAACAGCCATCAAGGCGCAAGCCTTGGCAGACTTCTTGGCCGAGTGCTCCTATCAGGAGACTCTGGATGCAAGGAGGAAAATCTGGACCGTCTTCACGGATGGGTCCTCCACCGTGAACGGTTCGGGGGCAGGGGTCGTCATCACCTCTCCCGAAGGCAAAACCTTCGAGTATGCACTAAAATTTTCATTCAAAGCCTCTAACAACGAGGCCGAATATGAAGCAGCCATTGCTGGCTTAGACCTGTGCATATCGTTGGAAGCCGAGCATGTCTACCTCAAGACAGATTCTCAGCTGGTCGCCAATCAGATCCGGGGGGAGTA